GGTGTATCAACCAGCTTTTTCCAACATGGGAACCAAGTAATTCTAGCAGCTAGGTTTTTTATGCATTTGACAAGTTTCTATTACACACTTTCCTGGGTGCAGTGTTATTCTAGGAATATGGGCAGACATGAGATACAGACATGCCCACAACGGGCTTACGGTCTAGCAGAGATTAAATAGATATGTATATAAATAAATAAATGTGGTATTAAAAGAGGCATAAGAAATGCATTAAGGACTCCCAAAGTGAGAAATATGTATCTCCGGAGAAGAGGGAGTAGGAGGAAGACTTTCTGGCTAAAGTAGTATGTGACTAAACCCTCAAAAAATAGGGTTTAGATGTAGATTTCAGAAGAGTAAGGCACATTAGGCTAAATAGGCATATTATCTAACAGCCCAAATGGAATAAATATGACACACTCAGTACTCATGTAAGGATATCAGGTGAAAAGAACGATACGCTTCTTTCTTTAAAATAAATTTTATGGGTACGCCTGGGCAGCTCAGTGGTTGAGCATCAGCCTTTGGCTCAGGGCCTGATCCTGGATTCCCAGGATCGAGTCCCACATTGGGTTTCTTGCATGGAACCTGCTTCTCCTCCCTCTGCCTGTGTCTCTGTCTCTCTCTGTCTCTCTTGAATAAATAAAGTCTTAAAAAATAAAAAAATAAATGTTATGGCATAAGTACATATAGAAAACTAATACTACAAGTGTGCTTTTCAACACAGCATTAATACAGTTCATATTCATGCTATTTACCTAATCTTTTAACAATTGAAGTCTCTCATATACTTAAAAAAAAAAATCCAGAAGGTTGAAAGTAAATGAAGTAATCAATACCTAAATTATAAAATAACCTGTTTGGATCTCAGAGGTTCCTAACCATCAACTTAATACAATTTCTACTATTGTAATACTTCAATTCCATGAAATATCGCTAGGTCCAGACAACCTCAAAGACATTTTTGTTTAAGAAGATAATCATGATACATTAAGAATGAAGGAACCAGGGTGCCTGGGTGGCTCAGTCGGTTAAGCATCTGCTTTCAGCTCAGGTCATGATCCCAGGGTCCTGGGATGGAGCTCCATTCTCCCTCTCCCTGCTGCTCCCCCTGCTTGCACTATCTCTGTCAAATAACGAAATAAAATCTTTAAAAAAAGTAAGCAAATAATTCCCAGTGATCATGTAGATCAATACTAACTTTTTAAAACTATATTTTCATTGAAGAAATTTAAAGTTAAAGTAAATTCAATATCTAAGCTGAATAAGTAAACTCTCATTCCCCATCCACGCTGACTTTTGTTCTAATTGTCAATCATCACACTGAATCATCCCATGGATGAGATGGTGTAATGGAATGAGTCCTGCACTGGATGTCAGAAGACTGGATTCCACCACTGCCCAACTGCAACAATTTAGGCAAATCGCTTCACATCTGTGACCCTCAGTCTATTCAGGAGTAAAACAAGACTAGATGATCTATGACTCTACATCCTCTAATTCTATAAATTATTAGCATTTTATTTTAACCAAGTTAGTTTAGTTTTTTGTTTTTGTTTTTGTTTTTTTGAGATCACTTTTAAGTAAAAGCAGCAGAGCACATAAAGGAATCAAACTGAAGAACTCCACAGGAACATTAACACGGCTTTGTATGGTCTCATTCTTAAATGCAAAGAGAACAAAAAAAAAAAAAAGTATGTTGTATCTGAAGACTATCCAAGTAATATTCTGACCACATAAGCTTCTGGGGTAGAAAAAATGGTAGAAGAACAGTAAAAATGTTCAAGGAAAACAACCACCACAAGAATACGAAATAAAAAACAGATGCCCTACATACAGTTATTGCTACATGACAGAAGCTTTTCATAGCTTTTCAATACTCCTAAGAAGTCCTAACAGAAGAAGAAATAAAATGTTTCCCTAACCATCAATCTAAATGTCCTTTTTGCATCCTCAAACCTAAAAAGGACAAAATATCAGGCTAGAGACTGACTTATTTGTGCACATAATTCATCTGCTCCTTATACCTTTACAGCATTTAGTAATGTACCCTGAACATAAAAGGCACACAACACCAGGTAAACAAGTGAATGAACCACATATGAATCTCTAATCAACAAATAAGCCCACAAAAAATAAATTCTGGTCAAGCTTTATTACTTCTTTGCAATGTATTCTAGTAAAACGCAACATCTGAAGAGAAGAAAAGGAGTAACTAACCATGCTAGACCTCTCTGGTTCCCAGGTTATCAATATGAATTTGAAATTGCATTTAAGACAGATCACAAAATACCATTCAAACTGAATAATAAAAACAAACAAACAAACAACAACAACAAAAACTGAGTAACGTATAGCCTGACATTTACTTCCAGGAGTCTCTGGACTATTCAAAGCCTTTGCTTCCTACTGCAGTAATGGCAAGAAAATCTCCCCACTTCCCAAATTAAAAAAAAAAAAAAAAAAAAAGCTTATAAAAACTTAACTACATTTGCCTAGTTTTGGAACTGGCTTTATTCAATTAAATTCAAAGAAACGTAAGTTATTTTCAAGCATTTTATTTTAAAAAATTATGTGGGTACAACGAATACTTAAGTTTTACTGTCTAATTAAATCCAACAAGACACTCAGTCAAAAATATATCTTCCTGAAAGGCCGTGGAGGGAATTACAGCTATACAGATATGTCATAACAGATAAGAGGTCTATGCAGTTAAGTTGTAATGTGAATATTTTTCTAATTAGAATACAATGTTTTTTCATTCAACAAACATTTGCAGTGTCAATACCCTACACAGAAAATAAAATCCTACAGTGCCTTATATGTAAAGATAAAATCTAAGAAGGGCCTATCCTGACCTCAAAACGAGATAAAACTGGTAGGTAAATATCTAAATACAAGGTAGAAAGTGTGAATGCCATGGGAGATGTGCAGATAAGCACTTCAGGAGCGCAAAGGAAGTTGTTACTACCTCACAGAAACATAACCTTTTCAATCTGTTTAAAGCAATTTCATAACTATTAACTCTTTCAGGCTCACAGCAGCCAACCCTAGAAGAGAGGATGTTTTTCTACTATCACAGATGAGGAAACGAAGGCACAGAAAGGTTGATCGTGTTCCAAAATGTCACATAGTAAAAGGGAGAATCGGGACTCCTTGTATTGTATTTTCTGAGGCAGCAGTTCAACATATGGCAAGCCTTTTGTAAAAGGAAAGAGTATTTTGGTATTGCAAGTAATCCCATCCTTATGTATGTATGTAAGTATATTATTTATATATACACGTGTGTTAACCTTGATTTCGGTGGAAAGGTGTGCTTAAAGCAAGGCAAGGCAACTGTGTACTATAAATATTAAATAAATAAGCGTCCACCGGATTTAACAGAATGAGCTAATACAACCACTATTTCTTCCTCCAACAACTTGTGTTTATTTCTTCCATAATCTTTACCCACTTCTAAATAAGATTCTAAAATTGCTGTATCTGCTCCCGAGCCCAGGCCACTTGGCTCATCCAATACGTATCTTTATGAAAGGGTACATTAAGATATTTCTTTAACTATCAAAAATTAAACAATGGCAATGGCTCTTCAGTTATGCAAAGGGACAAACACATGTGACCTATCAGCAGCAGCTATTGATCAAGATAACGTTGAACGAATGAATGAGTATTTATTTGTAGGCATTTTAAAATCCCGGGCCTGTTGCTCTGGGGCTCAGCGTTCCGCCTCTCATCACTGCCTCACCAGGATGCGCACAAGGTACGCAAATTTCAATATTAATTAGGATATCATTAGGAAAGCAAATCTGAGGCAGGTGAATATACTAATCCCAAAGATTAGAATTACCTATACCACTGCTCTCCAAGGTGAACTCCGTTGAAGTGGCACTCCTGACCACGCAACCAACATCAGTAAAAGAAAACTGACGCTTCCTGAGCAACCACTTTTCGCAAATATCACTCCTTCCCATCCGCACCTTCAATAACGACTACACCTAACCCAGTTAAATCGAAGAATTCAGCCTCCTCTCCATGCACACCGGCTTCTCAATTCCAGTTTCTCAAGCCCCTCTTCTTCTTAAAAGGGAGAGAGAGAGAGAGAATTCACCGACTTCGCACAGTAACTCGGCAATAATAAAAGGCAGAAGGTCCAGGGCTCCGATCTTTTGCCTTCTCCAGCACTCTGCCCACCCTTCGCCATTACACCCCTAAGTGGTGCGGCTGGAAGGTGAACTAGTTTGCTCTTCACGCACTTGTCCATCGCTGTCACCCTCCCTGAAGCCCGTGCACGCTCCCCAGACGGCCCCCCGCTCCGCCTCGGAGCCGGCCGAGGCCCGCCACCTGCGCCGGCCCCACCTGGGCTCCCCGGGCGGCCCGCACGCCCCCTCCTCACAGGACAGCCGACCGGCCGCAGCCCATTCTTCCTCCAAACTCCATAAGCCTCTTCCACTCGCCCAACCCCAGCTCCCCCGCCGCGCCCGACTCGCCCCCGGGCGGCCGAGGGCCAGAGGCCGGGCGGCTGCGGCCGGTCCCCACCCACCCGGCCCGCGACGCCCCTCGCCGGGCCGAGGAGCCGCTCCCCGCGGCCGGCGCCCCGCGGAGCCCTCGGAAGCCCCGGAGCGAGCGGGGGCCCGGAGGCCGGGGCTTGCGGGCGCCGGGGCCTACTCACCAGGAGCTGGCGGAGCGTGGGAGCCGGCGCGCCCCCGGGCCTGAGGAGCAGGACGCGGCCCCGGCGCGCGTCCCTACCCCGGGACCTCGCTCGGCGCGGCGAGCCGGGAGCTCACTCCAGCCGCCGCCGCCGCCGCCGCTGCTGCTTCGCCACCTTGGCCGCCATCTTGACTCAACCCCTCTCCCTCCCCCGCGGCTCCGGCGGCCGCCGCTGAGGCGGCTCCGGCGCCGGCTCCGCCTCCTTCCGGAGGGCTGGGAGACCGACTCCCCTCCCCTGGCCGAGCGCCGCTCCTACCTCGGCCGCGCTTCCTGGGGCGCCCCGCGCTTCGTCCCCTCGGCGGTCCCCTGGGCCTGACGGCGGCGGTCCCTTCGAGCGGAGACGGGCCGGGGCCGCGCCGTGCCCGGCCGCACCCAGCGCGCTGCCATCGCGCACTCCGGCCGCGCCGCCCGCCGGCTCCCGCGCGCTCGGGGCCTCGCCCGGAGCGTGGGAAAGGCAGGGACCCGAGCCCCCCGCCCCCACCTCCTCGGCGGCGGCCGCCTCCTCGGGCCCGGGCTGCGGGGAATCGGGAAGTCAGGGCCCCCGGCGCTGCGAGCCCGCGGGGTGCACGGCCACCTCCCCACGACAGTTTCCAGGGCTGCGGCTGAAGCTTGCAGCGGGATCTGGCTGACATATCGAGCGGTGCGGATTCGCGCATGAGGTCGCTCCTTAGTCTAAAGTCACCGGTCGGAGGAGCCTGTGAAGAGAGTCTCTCTCTCTCTCTCTCTCTCTCTCTCTCTCTCTCTCCCAGCCTTCCCTTCTAGAGAAATCCTCGGCACCGCGTGCTTTTCCTTCAGAAGAGCCGCCACTCCACGTGCCAGAATCAAGAAGGAAAAACAAGAGTCGGTTCATCCGGACAAGAAGGGGCTGGCCATGTCCTGATGAGAAAGTCTCGGGTGTTCATAAATGAGTTACAAAACGGTGAATTAAAGAGAGGAGGGAATTCAACATAGGGAGGGCGGGTATTTTTCAATCGCTGTTTTATTTTGTTTTGTTTTAACCCATGACACTGTAAGGACAAGAGTAAAAGCTGACGGCCAAAGAGTTCGTCTCAGAAATCGAGAAAGCAAAAAAAAAAAGACATCGTCGGTGCTGCATAAAGTAGAGAGAACGAGATAAAGGAGGGTTGGGAGGTGTCCTTGTGGAACCACAACAGGAACCCAACGTCGGAAGCTTCTGGTGGGCAAAACGGACTCAACCTCGGAACGTAATTTCCGCGAGTGCCGTTTTCCCGCCGGAGCCTGGATGTGCGGCAGCCTTCCTCCTGCGCAGGCGCAGTGCCTCGGAGGCGAGGATGGAAGCCGCGGGCCCCCTGTGTTTGGCTGCGGCGGCGCTCCTGGCGTGGGGTTTCCTCCGGGTTTGGGACTCCCGGGAAAGAACCAAGAGTCAGGAGCAGGCTGGCGTCCTGGGGGATGGCAGCAGGACCTTGCTGGTGATCGCGCACCCGGACGATGAAGCCATGTTCTTTGCTCCCACGGTGCTGGGCTTGGCCCGCCTGGGGCATCGGCTGTCCTTGCTCTGCTTCTCTGCAGGTAGGAGGCTGTAGGCGGGGCGCGGGGCGCGGGGAGCTGGGGCTTCGAGGGGTGTGTAGGTGCTCACCTAACTTGGCTTCTCCCCGAGGGGGAGCTAAGTGAATACAGCGAAGGTCTCTTCACGGAAGATGGTGGCCCCCGCCTGTGGGCCGGTGACGGCCAGCTTCCCGGGTGGGTCGGGGGACGTGCCCGCTTGACGCTCTTCCCTGCCAGCAGGATTGAGGCGCACAAGACAACTGGCTCACGTTTTTGCATTTAACACTTCCATTTCCGTTGGGGATCTGCCACTCTGCTCATTATTCTGTGGGGCTTTTTTAGACGCCAGAGGACCAAGAACAGGGATCTTCCTCTGGGACGCCACACCATCCAGGCTGTATCATGCCTGCTCAACCCTTAATATTTTACCGCGAAAGGTAGCGCAGGACCTTCCTGCTGCTTTTCAACATCCCTTTGGTGCTAGGAAGATGCATCTGTCAAATTGAAGAGAGAGTCAGATCATTAGAGGAGAAGATAATTTTATAGGTCATTTTAGAGTTCCATTCCACCGACTTTCAGTCCAGAGGCCTTTCAGAGAGTAAAGTCCTCCTTTATCTTACAGAAAAGGTGGACTGAGAAAACAGAAAGTGACCACGTACGGGATTATGGTGATAATTGCACAGCTGTATAAATGTAATTGAACTGTACATAGACAGTGGGTGAATTCTTATAGTATGTAAAATTATACCTCAATAAAGCTATTTTTAACAAACTCCCATGACCTCTTCTCCCATTTGGTTGTGTGTAATTACAGTTCTTTTTCTACACTGATTTTTTTTTTTTACAGAAATCCCATTTTATACAATTTTATATTTTTTCACAGGACATGAGTTTACGCTCATTTTGCCAGATATTTGGTTTTTATTATTTTTTTAAAGATTTATTTATTTATTTGATAGTACAATTTGGGGGAGATGGGCAGAGAGAGAGAGAGAGAGAGAGAGAGAGAGAGAAAGTAGACTGCTGACTCAGCAGAGAGCCCTAGAGAAGGCTCCATCCCAGAACCCAGGATCATGACCCCAGCAAGGCAGACACTTAATCAACTGAGCCACCCAGGCACCCCTACCGAATATTTATTAAAAATTTTTGTGGACTGAGCACTATCAGAATGGCGAAAATCCATAGCATTGACGACCACCAAATGCTGGTGAGGATGTGGAACAATAAGAACTCTTACTCATTGATGGTGGAAATGCAAAATGCTTCAGCCACTTTGGGAGCCTGTTAGTTTGGCAATTTCTTATAAAAGGTAAACATGCTTGGGGCGCCTGGGTGGCTCAGTCAGTTAAGTGTCTGCCTTTGGCTCAGGTCTTGATCCCAGAATCCCAGGATTGAGGCCCACGTCTGACTCCCTGCTTGGAATGGAGTCTGCCTCTCTTTCTGTCCCTTCCCCTGCTCATGTGTGTGCTTTTGCTCTCTCAAATAAATAAATCTTAAATAATTAGACATGCCCTTACCAAACTGTCTAGCAATCCCCCTCCCTGGTATTTATTTACCCAAAGGAGTTGAAAACCCCACAAAAACCTGTCCACAGATGTTTTAGGGTTTTTTTTAAGATTTTTATTTATTTATTCATGAAAGACAGAGAGGCAGAAACATAAGCAGAGGGAGAAGCAGGCTCCCTGCAGGGGGTGGGGGGGCTCAATCCCAGGACCCCAGGATCATGACCTAAGCCAAAGGCAGACGCTCAACCACTGAGGCGCCCCTCCACAGATGTTTATAACAGCTTTACTCATAATCACCAAAATCTGAAAGCAACCAAAACATCCTTCAGTTGGTAAATAGATAAATAAGTTGGTACATCCAGATGATAGAATATTATTCAACGCCAAAAAGAAATGAGCCATCAAACCATGAAAAAACATGGAAGAACTTGAAGTGTGTGTCATGAAGCGGAAGAAGCAAGTCTGAAAAGGCTACATACTATGTGATTCCAACCATATGACATTCTGGAAAAGACAAAACTATATAGACAGTAAAAAGATCAGTGGTCGCCACAGGTTGGGAGGAAAGAAGGGTACACAGTTTTGAAGGAACACAGAGGATTCTTCGGCAGTGAAAATACTCTCTGATATTATAATAAGGGATATGCATCATTGTACATTTGTCCAAACCCACAGACTGTACACCACCAAGAATGAACCCTAATGTAAAGTATGGACTTTGGGTGATTATGATGTGTCAGTGAAGATTCATCCGTTGTAATATACCACTCTCATCAGAGATGTTGATAATGAGAAAGGCTATGCATTGGTGTAGGGGCGAGAGGTATATGTGAAACCTATACCTTCCCCTCAATTTTGCTGCAAACCTATAACTGCTCTAAAAAGCTTAGTTTTATTATTTTTTTTAAGATTTTATTTATTTATTCATTTTTAGTATATGTGCTGCTGAAGCGAGCACTATTTATTTATTCATGAGAGACACAGAGAGAGGCAGAGACACAGGCAGAAAAGCAAACTCATCCCAAGACCCCGGGATCATGACCTGAGCCAAAGGCAGACACTCAACCACTGAGCCACCCAGGGGTCGCAATTTGGCTATTTTTAAGGCTTTGCATGCATATCAAATTCCCCAAAACATAATTTATATTCTCACTGACAGGTAGTAAGAGTATCTGCCTTAATATAGCACCCTGTCTAGCACTGACTAATATTTTTTTATATATTACTTCATGGTATAATACTTTTTCCCCTCAAAATCTTGTTGCCAGTGAAGTTAACCCATTTTTCATATCTATTGAGAATGTAGATCTAAGCACTTCTCAGTCTGTGCTAGAAAGGAGATTAATTGTAAATAGATACAGGTAATAGCCTCATTTGCTTTTTAAAAGATTTTATTTATTTGAGAGAGAAAAAGAGAGAATGAGTAGAGCGAGGGGCAGGAGAAGCAGACTCCCCACTGAGCAGGGACTTGTTGCAGGCAATCCCAGGACCCCGGGATCATGACCTGAGCCTAAGGCAGACAACCAACTGAGCCACTTAGGTACCCCTCATTGTTTCCTTTTAATGGTATATTAAACCATTTTTATATTACAACTGTGGGAGTCAAATTATAACAAATTTGTTTCAAGATCAGGAGAAAAACCTGGATTTTATATACCAAGTATTTTAGGTGCGGTGGCTTCTTCAGTAAATTTCTCCTTATTTTTCAGCAGGTTGAAACCAGAAGTTAAAATTTTTCAAATGAAAAAATGTAAAACATGCCCTTAGTGTATATTAAACACACAGTATCTTTGTCTTGCATTTCCTCTGAATCAAACTTGCCATGTAAATTGTTCTCTCTTGTAACTTTTTTAGAAAGATTTATTTATTTATTAGAGAGGATGGAGGGACAGGGAGAGGGAGAGAGAGAATCTTAAGCAGGCACCATGCCCAGCATGGAGCCTATGGCAGGGCTCCATCTCAGGACCCTGAAATCATGACCTGAGCCGAAATCAAGAGTTGGACACTTAACTGGCCAAGCCACCCAGGCGCTCTTGTAATTTTTAAATTACTTTTATTTTTTTTATTAATTTTTAAATCCCCAACTCATTCAAAAAAGATTAAACATTACCCACACTTCCAATTTATTTTAACATGAAAAACAGGAAGCTAATGACTTGTGATATAGTGAAAGCTATATGGCGTAATAGAGAAGATACTATGGACATAATATGGAGTAAAGCATGAATTTTCATCTCAGAGTTTTAGATTAAAGAAACTTCTCCAAAGAGGTTTTCTTTCAAACTCATCTTTTAAAAAACAGAACTTGGTATATAGGAAATGAGATACAAAAAAAAGGAAATGAGATACATTTGTCCTAGGCTGTAGTACAAGCATCAGTAAGTCTTGGACTTAAATGAGTAATTCATTATAACTACATTGTCAGTTTTAAGGGGTGGGGAAAGAAATACACTATTTTGCTATTAGTTCCTCATTTGATCCTATCAGCAATCCCATGATAGTCATTACTAAATATATAAAACTTTGTATGTGTGTGTAATTTGTTATTCCTATTTTACAAATATGAAAACTGAATCACAAGGAGATTAAATAACTGGACTAAAGTGACTAGCTAGAATGTAGAGACTCCTGGGCCCTGTGGCTCTTCCCTGTTCTAAACCATTACACCCATTCTGCCTCTCGCATTGCCTAGGAGGTTATGTCAGTTGAAATAACTATTTTGATTCCCACTATATGTTCTAAGACGCGCTAGTTCATCAAACTGCTATTAAATTAAATTTGGGGGACATTAGCCAGATGTGCTATCCTCCATTTAGAAGTTCACAGCCCTTATTAGAATATCGACATCTTTGAGGAGTCTTGTAAAATAGCCTATTTAACTTTGTTTCATCCAACGTTTCTCCAATTTTGTTAATGTACACATGGGAGAAAGCTATACTAGATAATAGAATGTTATTGAATACATTTGGTGGAGAATTAACACAACCAGTTCTGTGTTTTAGAAAGCTCATTCTGGTGGCAATGTGGAGAATAGTTTATAGGGGGAAACTGGCATTGGGAAAACCAATGCAGCCCCTTCTTTATCCTGAGACTGCATTCCACCTCTCATATGTGAGATTTCTCTGTATCTGTGATCCATATTGCCATTCTCTTAGTTTGACATCCCTGTGCCAACACGGTGTCTTAATTACTATAGGTTTGGTTTGATTGGGTTTTTTTTTTTTTTGGTTTTGTTTGGTCTTTTTAAGATTTTATTTTTAAGTAATCTCTACATCCATGGTGCTCAAACTCACAACCCTGAGATCAAGAGTCACATGTTCCACAGCCTGAGCCAGCCAAGCATCCCTTTAAAAAAAAAGAGAGAGATTTTATTTATTTGAAGAGACGGAGGGGCAGAGGGAGAGGGAGAAGCAGATTCCTTGCGGAGCAGGAAGCCCAATCCAGGGCTCGATCCCAGGACCCTGAGATCATGACCTGAGCTGAAGGCAGACATTTAACCAACTGAGCCAGTCAGGTGTT